TTTTCTTTCGCTCCTTTAGGAGATTCCACCAGATTGCGCGCGATGCAGCGACTCGGTTGTCCTAGACTAAACACTTTTGAAAAGCAATCACGTTGAAAAATGTACAGGAATCGCCATATTTTCGTCAGCTAAGGTCTCAACGTTTCAGGAAAGACTACTACCAAGTTTTGGGTTTGCAGCGGGATGCGACTCAACGTCAAATAAAAAACGCCTACTATCAGCTATCGAAGAAGGTGAGTTTGACCCCCATCCCAATATGAAAAGGAAAACGTGTTTCCTTCAGACATTCCTGCAAATGCAATTCAATCCTTATTTTTAGTACCATCCAGATGTCGCTGGGCGAAACGCTGGCACAGAGTCGAAATTCATTGAAATAACGGAGGCGTATGAATGCCTGAAGGATCCTGAGAGGAGAAGGATCTACGATGGTAGCTCAGTTGGACGAGGAGGGCGCTACACAGAGACGTCGTCTGACTTCAAGGTATTCGGAACTTCTTTCCCCTTGAGGGAGGAGGGAGCATTTTTGTAAATTCCTGCCAATACCAGGAAAAGATAAGGGACGATAAGGTACGCAAAAGAGTGATACCAGTTCTATTTTCGGTGACCACGAAGCGCAGCATTAAATGGTTGAGGTTAAGCGCTGACCAGTACTTGTAGTATGCGCCATGCGTTTGCATTCCTTTGCGTGTCCCAGAACCGTCTGAGCATGACTTGTCCCATCGTCGCAAGAAAGAAATGTTCGGCGCGGTTCGGTTTTGAGGGTGCTATTTTGCACTTCGGTACTTCCCATCGTTTGTTCTTCCGGATCCAGATACTGACTTTGAACAGTGACGAACGATTCGATGTGTCTCTTGCCGATCGTGAAATTTTCAGCTAACCGGGGACTACCCCGGGCTTACAGGAAACATCCTGATTGCAATGGTTTAACCTCTTCATACCACGTGGCCGCTCAGAATTTAACTGGCATCATTTTGGGGCGCATAGTATCAGTCGTATCACACCTCGTGAATTCACAGAAATGTCCGCTCTCCTGAGAAAAATGTCTATTTTTTGACAATTCCTTATTTTGTTACTTGAAGTTATGA